ATAAGGGTGTCTAATACAGGTGACCTGCTAATGTTTGGATATCAGAGAGTGAACATCTGTCTTTTCTTAACACTGCCTTAAGAAGAGACCATCAACCAACAGAATTAGCATAGCCTGTACCATACACATGCTGGTGCAGTTTGACGGAGGTCAAGGTGATCCGAGCTACTGGAATGTTGCTATGTATTCCATCAGGGGAAAGACAAGAGAATGTTTAAAGCAAATAGCCTATTGTCCCTTATCTACTACTAGTCCAAAATGAAATCACAGACTTGTTTCTTTATGAAGGCACACAATAGCGTTTCGTTTCAGTGACCTGGCAGTCCTGCCCAGCAAGCTGATTCAAAGGTAGGCTATATTCAGCCTAATCCCCCGAGCCCTAACCGCTTTTGGGAAAGTTAAGCACTGCTGAAAGCTTCTGGTGCTGCGTAGGGAGCCTACAGCCATCCAATAAAAACCACCAGGCACAGAGACTGAGGGGCTCTGATTGCAGCCCCTTGCGTGTTAAAGCTGCAAAGTCTCCGAGTACAGTCCAGTTGGATGTAAACAGCATTCCTCTGCTGGGGTGGCAAACGATACCTTCCTCCCTGCTGGGCCTCAAGATGTAGCCAAAACTTGTTTACACTGTAATTTAGAGTTCATTGTAATCTAAATAGGGATTTTTGCAATGCAAATAGCGCTGTACAGAATGTAATACATTTTATTTATCGCTACTGTTTATTATGGCTATATAACTTATCACTCATCACATAGACCGGATTGCAAAACACAATGTTTCAAACACACTTTAACTCTCAGATCATGATCAGTAAAGAGAATATATTATACTTCTAATATGCTCTTTCCCCCACAGTATTTTACAAGAGCCTGCATAAACCCCATTTTGGAGAAACGGATTCCAAGAAATTAAAAAAAAAAAATTAATCTTGACTCATGTGCGAAGGTTGTTTCTGATTGCATAAAGTGGGCAGATGTCTAATGGGTCCTTTTATTTGATTTCCTGAAGCGCCCTATTGTACTGGCTGGTACACGTATATGGGGAAGCCTGCTATTAGCCCCAAAAATCAGAGTGTTAGAAGATAATCTTCCATAATGATCTAATGCTAACATAAATTATTGCAGTTCAGCATAGTTAGAACAGTCTACTGGACTCACTGCTCTTTAAAGGTGCAGAAAGTAGAAATGCAGTACAGAGGTTCAGGAACAGCAAATATTCATGTGAACAAAAAAAGTCTTCTCTCTCTTTGGCCTGTGGGAGGTGATCTAGGTTTGCTTCTTCCACAATTTACAGCCTATTGTAAACTAATAATCAGGCTCAATTAAAAAAATGAAATTACAATAGTGCCCAGTGAAGTGGGATGAAGTGGTTAATGTTTGTTACATACCCTGATGCTGGACCTTGATCTTCTGACAACACCCACCGTTCTCCAAGATGACGTTGCAGATAAATTACTCTGTTCTCCGAGGAAAACAAGTGGTAAAGTGATAAATGCTTCAGTCACTGTTAGTGGAATACCATGCCTCTTATGCAGTTTAGAGATTAGAATTATTTTATTAGCTGATTACTGTTCTAAGTAAATGTATTTAGACCATGTCTAAGAAGCCTGGTTCTGTCAGCACTGCTAAATTACCCCGCTCCTCCCGTGCCCTGCTGTATTCAAGAGGACAGTGCAGCTGGGAACAGGTAACCCAGAGACCTGGAACCTCCATCCAAGGAGGCTTTCGGGACTTGGCCAGACAGAGTCAAGTCTGATCTACAGTTGGCAACAGCCCTGCGCTGGGAGGAAGGTGGAACTAGATGGCAGCTATAGATTTCATCCAGTCTGTCCAGCTCCTTCCAACTCCCCAACTTCAATAATGCTGTAGTAAGTGCTGATGTGTTCTAGGGCTTATGCATCATATCTGAGGCTACAGACTGTACTGCAAGGGCTGCAAAAGCAGTAGTGTGCCAGGAGATTCTAGTGCCTCAGGCATCTGTCTAAGTTCCCATCCAGCACATGCACCTGGGTCCCTTCCCCCAATAAAAAGAGCAAGAGGATTAAGTTGTGATGTGTTTCTGGATTTTGGCCTAAAATGGAATTTAGGTCATGGCTGAAGAATATGAGTAGACTGAGGAAATGCTTCCTTTTCTACAGTTCAGACACAGCCTGAATGCCTAAAGCCACTGCTGATTTTAGCAGAATTTTGTCACAATAAGTCGTTTTTCAGCAGTAACTTTAGTGGTGAGAATGGTCACCGTAAGAGAGGGTAATCCTGGAGGGAGAAACTCAGAAATCAATCCAGGTATTTGGCAAACTGCAATATCTGACAATGTCGGAATTAGTGAAGCTGTTTTAGCATTTCCTCTGCCAGTATCTGCTCTTGTAAATAAGAATTTTGTTTTTGTTGATATAATTGTAATCAACAAAGTGCTTTGTAGAAAGAGAAGTTCTGTGAATTGTGTATTTCTGCAAAATTTTCTCTGATACCAGAAATTCAGACTGGACATGACATATTGTTCTGCTTTGCCTTTCTTTTAATTTGAGAAATATGATAGCACTGAAATAATGTGAAAGTGGTAGCAAGTAGTCTACATTTGAATATATTGTTTTAGGTCTCACCAGCAGCAGAAGTTGCATTTACGTAGATAGATGGTAGTATAAGAGCCACCATTACTGACTGTTCTATAATGTAAGTAGTTTTTCACTGTCTGTGTATAAGAGGCAGTTCTTATGGGGTTAGGAATACTAGCAGCAGCCTTTTTTTTATTCTTAAATAATCAAAAACCGCAACAACTCCAAAAATAATAGTCACCATGGAGTAGCTGGTGTAAAGATTGTAGCAGTAAAACTGTCATTTTTGAAAATGGTGTTTGGGAACTTCCACAATTTATTTGCTGAATGATTAGGGAGACTGTCAAAGCATAAAATATTTGGAAGTAAACTGTCCAACGTTCAAAGCTACACGGCTTGTCGTAAGAGCAGTTACACTGCAGCTAAATCCTTGGTGATGTAAATAGCTTTCAGCTCTGTTAAACAGGGATCACTTCATAATTGTGTTTTGCCCTACCTTTTAGATAAGTGAGCCTATTGTTTTCAGTGCCAGAGCAACTACCAGTATCCACAGTGCTGCTCGTAGCATATTGCTGGTACCAGTTGTTTTCAATGCACAAAGGAGTGAATATTAACAGAAAAGAAAATGCCTAATACTTCTTCCTCTAGCTGAGAGGTATTGCTGTGCAAGGGTCAGAAAAAATACTTCTGGCTGAAGTGCAAGCAGAGCCTAGCTCAGCACGGCCGATGGCCCAAGGGAGGCGTGCCTGGCACTGACGGTACTGCGGCCTCTGCCTCAGGTTTACTGTCGGTTGTGGTAGCATCTAGTGGCACTTTCATGATCTTGGTTGAAAAAATGCAGATTGCCTTGTCTGCTGCTCTTTCCTCTGCTTTTTCCCTGTGAAGTGTATCTAAAGTAGTCACGAACATAATTAAATACTTGCAACCGTGTACATGTGCATAGGGTAGTCCGGATTAAAACACAAAGGGAGCAAATTTTACTGTGCTTTCTCCAAGAATCCAATTAAAAGAATGTGCTTTCCATCACAAAGATGCTCTCAACCCTCAAATCATACTTTATATTCCAAAGACAGATCGTTAATAGTATTTCAATCAAATTTTGATTATAATAATCCTAACCTGTTTAGTACAAGATTTGCAGAGCCTTTTATTTTTTTAACTGGATGAAAATAATAATAATGCCATCATCAAAAAATAAAAAAAAAAAAAAAGAGGATACATTTGATACTGAGGTAAACTCATTTCAGCAGAGACTGTAGACTAGGGGCAAATGTTTTCTATAAAGCCACTCTTTCTGAACACCAGTGTTTATGAAAGTCACATCCACTAAATCTGTGAGTCTTTCTCATGAATGTTTTATCTAATTCCAGCTTTGCTAGCATGTCAGAGAGTTGTGCTTTTGATAAGTTTCCAGTTGTCTGGTAGAAATCCAGTTGCTTATTCAAGGATGAAATCTGAACAAGATGGAAGATACTGCAATGAGTGGAATTACCTTTTGGCTTTGATGAGCTGGTCTGGAACTGGAGGTAGAAGAAAAAAATCTATTACATATATTTTTCCCTCTCCAGTTTTATTTATTTCCTTTCCCTCCACTCCATCCTTGCACTTTTCTCTGGGCACTTGGCAAATCCACAAGTGCCGTTAATGTTGCTCCTTGGCTGAACATTAAATGCATATTTTTGAACACAACTGCTGACTCCTCCCTATCTTGCACCTCACTGACATGCCTGGATCCTGTTGGCTCAGCGCCTGGGATTGTACATGTTCTTGGAATATCCCAAGGGAAATCCCATCAAACTTCTTCTGTTCACATGACCTAATGATTGTTTGAAAGTGCCTGGTTTTGCAGCTTCTTTCTTCTAACATCTGAGTTTTGAAGTTCCAGTGTTATATTGGACTTTGGAGAACTTTACTTTGACCCAGGTAACTTCTTTTTGCCTGGCCATGAAAAACTTCACTGGAAACTATGTGATGTCCATGTAAATACTGAGATATAGTTTGTCACTGGACAGTTATCTTAAAGACAGAATACAAACAATGAAAATACACCAACATGTAACCCACAGTCATTAAGTGTGGTACCTCCATAATAGATGCAATGCCTTGTGCAGAGTTCAAGGCTTGCATATTTAAAGACTGAGGGTTTTTATTCCCACAGAGTTAAAAAGCAAAATGTTACTGTTGTAGCTAAAGGCAATGTTATTTTTATTAATTTAAAATGTTTGTGAATAATATGAAGAGGTAGGAAAAAACCCACATGCAAACTAGTCAGTATAGGATATTTTTATCTACCATTGTAGTCTACACCACTTCTGTATTAACCATCTTAAGCAAAAATACGCCAGACCGTTTGGGCCTTAGTATAATGATGTTGTGATTTATTGCGCTCTCAGTTTCCATCCTGCAGCAATTACCAGAAGAGCTGATAATGGTCTGCAATTTGTTTTCCAGAACTGGGAGTAGCTGCCAGCAAGAGTCGCTCGCAGGGAGAGGCAGTGGCTGTTTACCTGCACTGCTCGGCCAGACCAGGGAGGACAGGTCAGTGACAATCCTCAGAGAACACACAGTGAAGCACCAACCTGTTGAACTGGTAACAGCAGTTTCGTCCAAGATGATGCAGTGGGACCCAACAGTATAAAAACTGACATGGTATTACATTTCTAGAAAATAATGTGAAACCTGACTAAAATAATGAACAATGTATCAGCCTTTCTCCCCTCCAGTTCACTCATATTGATTTAAGACATGTCCTTGATTCAAAGAATCAAGTGACACACACCCTGTTTATAAGAACTTACAGGTCTAGCTATTGGTGGAGGTTCCTTATAATGGAATTTACTGTAAGCACTTGTTACAGTTACAAGGAATCTTTATAATCCATGGAGTTAGAGATGTTTCCTGTTTTCTTGGTGACCTTGGAGTCAATGTATTGAAGCTCAACACACGTTTTTCAGAACTTGATCCTGCCCAGCTGTGACAACTGTTTATCAGCTGCCAAGAGACGAGATCCTGTGAATCTCACTGCAAAGGACAGACGTTCATCTTCAGATATAAGATGATTTCATACTTATTGAAAGCTTTTGGGTTTCCCTAACTATCAACAAGGTTAGCTTAGTTCTCTTTTATAAGAAAGGGATTGCAGGCTAGGGCAGAGTATGACTTCAGCAGTTAATCAGCTCAGGACATCAGATAATACACAAATATTTTGCAGACTGAGAAAAATCTTTCTGTCTTCTCTAATAAAAGGAAAGTTGGTCTGTATTTTGTCATTGAAGAATGAAACTGATTTTTTAAAAATACTGCATTTGACTTAGCCGGTATACTGTCCCGTCTTCTGCTAGTTCCCCTTGTATGTTTAGATTCTTTGCCCTACCTGTGTTCAGTACCTGGTATTTTGGATGAGCAGTCATATAAGTAACTGTGTGCTATTGGAGCATAATAAATACTGATTATATTTTTCTACCTTCATTAGTCTCAGTGTTTGAAGTTTTCAAATGGACTTCTGCTCTGCTTTATTTAAAGGAGAACAGTTAAATGGTTTGTCTTCCTCAAAATGTACCATATTTTTTTCTGTAAGGTGGCTGGAAAGAGAGGAAGGATTCTTATTGTCATTCCCGTTGGTGATAGTTGGAACATAAGGATCTGGATCACATCCAGTAACAAAACTAAAACCAGTCCTATGTCAAGACAATGTAACAGCCAGTGGATTGGAGATGCCCAGCATAGGTAAGTGAGGAGTCTGCATTATTGCTTCTTTCTTCTCTCTGCTTTCTTTCACACATACACTTCTGTTTGTGAGCACTCTGTCCTGCAGTCTCCAAACTCAGTGGGATTCCCACTAAGTTTTCAGCAAGAACAGGAATATCAATGACTGCAGGCGCTTTCATGTACTTTCACTATGGCTTTGGATATTCCCACCATCCTTCTCCCCATTGGCAGCAGCAACTCTTTTTTTTTTTTTTTTTTTTTTTCCAGCTCATTTTGCTCCTAAACACTTCCAAAAGGTTATACTGAAGTCACTTTTTAGTGAGTAACCAAAACAATCAGGTATTAATTGTGGCTAAGAACAAGGTCCAAAGTGTGATTCGTTATAGTTCTTCAGTTCATCTAGAGTAAATAGGAGCTTATCTGTGGGGCTGCCTAGGTTTTTACTTCAGTGGTATCTGACAACTATCGCTCAAGATCTTAGAGGAAACTTTGAACCCACTATACTAGTTTAAACAGGTTTGTGGCCTTTGGCTTTTTAATCTTTCCCTTGGTTCACTGTTAGATTTGAGTGATTGCCGAGTAGTGTAAAAGCCTGGAAATTGGATATTAATCTTGAAACTCTTCTTTAGATTCTTTTCCCAAGGAGGATGTTACACATTAAACATTGCCCATCCAGCTGGGCACAGAAGAATATTTTCCATTTTTATTTAAACTCTTATTCTCAATGGAAATGGAGGAAACTCAGTACTTTGCAAGAGTAGACACTAGAGCCACAAAGCAATATGAGGATGTCTTTATTTAAATGACTGCATGGCGTATTCTCATTAATAATATGGCTTTGCACTCATGTTAAACCTTTCCAGTAAAGGTATCAAAATGTTTTTCAATTTATAATTCACAAAGTACATACTTCTATCTTATTTTTGTGGCTTCGCAGAATAAACTGTGCTTAAGGTGGGAAAAGATCATGGTATTTAAATGCCCCAGCTGACCTAACAGAAAATATTAATCATTTGTCTATGCTATTATTTTAGTCATTATTACATTTCTACCACCCTTTTGAGGAAACAGAGATTTGAATAATGATTTCATATGGGTTTGTAATGTGGAAGAAATTTTAGTTCTGAATAGATATATATTAGTACTTCTATGTTTTCTGTGAAAGAATATGTTGGACTTGAGTAATTAATAAAAAAACCACTTCATATTGGAAATTCAGCTTGTAAGTCACATAATGCTTTGGAAAACTCTACCTTGCATGCCAACCTTTCAGTGTTTTACCCACGTAATTCCTGTTGGTTTAAGTATTCCAGCCAGTGCTCAGTTGATTTGAAACCCAGACAAATAGAACAAATTAGTAATATAAGTGGCTCTTCTCATATATGTATACATATATATATAATACCTAAGATTTTTGCCTGGTAACACTTTTTATCTTCAGCTATGGTATATGGAGAAAGTACGTAGTATAACCAGACCCTGGGTATTTAACTAGATTTCCTTTTTGCCTGTTTATTTAAGTGACAAAAAGTGGTGTTTCCATTCATCCACAGATGGATGCAGTATCAAGGGGTTTCTTGAGGACTCCAGAGGCCTTGAACTTACTCCTACTTTAAGGACATTAGCATCAATTTTTCTTTCTGAAAGATTTTAAGGACTGAAAAGAGCTCTCACTGATTCTAATACATTGAGTTTGGGCCCACGTCAGATCCTGATAATTGTTATGAGTTGGCCACACGGGAAAACCTGACGTAACTCATAACTTGGTCGAGCACACCAAAATGAAAGAGTTCAACAAGTTAACCTGTGTATCCCTTAACGGTGGTGTCTTCATCCAGTGCAGATCAGAGTAGGTCCATTACAATTAGGGTTTCTCACTTGATTTCTTGAGTCTTTGCTGATTTACCCCCCTTTTTTTTTTGTTCTAACCCTTTGGTTCTGGCAGGCTTGCAAAGAGCAAACTATATTTGCAAGTCTACTAATGTGACTGAAACTGATAATTACTATACATACTTCTGGAAGATCTATAATATAATTAGCAGCTTCTGTGAGTTGCAGGATGACAATAAGAGAAGATTTATGTGCTTTCTTTTAACTTAAGCACAGTTTACTTTGATAAATACAATTCTGAGATAAGAATAAATGCATATTGCATTGGCCAATCTTCCCTGTGACACTGGGATATGTATTACCTCTTTGCTCCAATTATCCAAAATGATGTCACTTTCCCTTTTTCTCTGCTTTGATTGCCTTTTTAAGTGTTCTCTACCACCCTTGCCAAAGGGGTGCAATTATCCCTACAGGTTAAACCTCTTGATTTTGGACGGGGAAGTTGTGTAAATGTGTTGCCAGTGTGGCGGCTCGGTGAATCAAACTTTCTGCCCTTACATAACTTCTTTCATTAGGAGTCCCACCTGATAATCTGGGGAAGCCTTGGTTGTTTGGGTAAGAAAATGAATGAAGCCAGTGAGCAAGAGAGCTCTTACTGTTCTGGTCTGCCTGGTCCCTCATCATTGCTGTGCTGCCAAAGCTTGTTGCTGCTCTGCCTCTTTCTATCTCTGATGTTCTAGCACAGGGACAGTGTCCACTCTATGTAAGTGGCAGGCTCTGGACAATCATTTACCATCTCTCTAGACTTCATTAAGCAGAAACTGGCCTAAAGTACTAGTGAATGGACTGTGCTCAGCACATTCACAGATCTTGAAACTCAAGGCAGGAGCCTAGCTGACAAGAAGTCCAGCTCTCTTATGATGTCTCAGAAGCCCAGAAAATTCTTAATTTTTAGAGGCTAGCTCCACCACAGATGAGTACACTTTCTGACACAACCTTAACAAAAAGGTCTGCAAGAAGGCCCTCACCAAAATTTCATCCCTTTCAGGCATAGTTTCCCCAGAAAGACCAATGACTTCAGTTCTTCTGATGAGGTTTGGGATTGCAGAGCTCGTTACAGAGGTGTAAACTCTGTGTTGAGGGTCTTCCTTGCTTTTTACATGTTTAATATAGTGAAGACAGATTTATTCTATTGCCTTTCAAGCCCTCTGTGCTCAGAAGGGATTAAGATTTACATCTTATACTGCCCCCTCAAAGAAGGTGGAGTGAACATCAAAACAGCCATGCAACTGAAAGTATGATTGAAGCTAATAAAAACCTGTTTTCTTGAAACATCCTTATTACTGAGTTCACTGTAGGAGGAATACTTCTGTAACCTGCCAGCCTTTAGCTCAATTGTACTGATGTTGTGTAGTTCACTGATTAGAAACAATACTAGATGCACTTATGATAAACTCTTTGTTGGACCTCTAATCTCTGCATGGCTATGCTCATTTGAAATGTGAAAGCAGACTACGTGCTGTGCAGCACTATACATCTCGATTAGGTAATAACTAAAACACGAGAGAAAAGATTAGGACAATAATAATGATGATGACGATGGTGATAAAAATAAAATGATGTAATTGGAAAATCTCTTGCTTAGTGTGAGCAATTTAGAGAAAAACTCCCAGGTCCCAAATGTTGGATTGGGAAAGAAACTCCCAGACAGCAAAACTAGAGGCATAGCTGTCATTCATTTGATAATGGAGTTGCTTTCGGTAGAAAAAGAAGGAGATGCTTCAGATTTAAAATATTGAAGTTGCTTGAAGTACAGAGTGAGTGAAATAGTGATAATGTGGAACTCTGGGTTTGACTCTTAAGAGGTGTAAGGGGAGTAAACGCTTGCTGTTTCAGCCATTTATAAAAGCATCCCTCGATTCTTCATGAGTGTTTCCCAAATGCCACAACTTTAATCCCAATTCAGAAAGAATTTAACTGTTTTTCAGAAAGGGATTAGACCTAATGAGAGCTTTTCTGCTGATTTTGATAGGAGTTTGAAAAAACCCCAAAAGATAATAAGCTCTAACCAGTATATTTTCTGGTTCGCTCTTACAGTAGTAACACTGCTCTCCCTAAAAATTGCAGGATGATCTGGGACTTCATCCAACTCATGCTGAAGTCTTTCCACTCAAATAGAATCCTTGGTGAAAAAAATTAGAGGTGATTACTCAGTAAATATACCTCATTGTCTGTTATGGGTCTTTCAGTTATTCTTGCATTTGTTCCAAAGCCTAGTACAGGATGCTTAGGAGAACTGCACAGTATTACAGGGCTTTGTTTGAATCCTGTCCTTTTTATTTTGCAGATTTTTTTTTTTTAATATAAAAAAAGGAGCAGGAAATTTATGAAAATGCAGGTCATGTCAACATAGTTCAATTTTCTCAACTTGTCATCTTGTCTCAGTTCTAACTGGAAGAGCCTGAAGAAGGCCCTATGGCCAGCTTGTCAGCTCTAATCTCCCCTTCTACTCTTAGCGGATATTTTATTAACACTTTTTAAGACTGTTTTGTATTTATTTTGCAGTCTACATGCTGAGGCAGCAGCCAGTTTGTTTCTCTTCATCTTTCTCTCTTCTTGCTCTCTGCTGCATGAGAGAGCGGTTGGCTCTTCTGCCATCAGAGTCCACAAATCACGGCAAAAGGAATTGTTGCAGTTTTCATAAATGTGGTGTTACTTGAAAATTATAGACTGCAACTGCTTATTGCAGTTCTGTGCAATGGCTGTAAATTGGGCCCTGTATCTTTCTGGTGACAGTCATTCCCGCAACAGGCCTTTTAGGAAATTGGAAGGGAAATTAAACAAGAGCAAGGGGTAGCTTTCCTTTTATCTTTGACATGCCTTCCTGAAATCCTTATCTATCATATTCAGGCAGAAATGTTACTGAAATGGTGGTGGATTTAGATGTTGTCTGTTTCTGAAGCTACAGACTACTGATCCTGCATGCTCTTTGAGGCAGATCTGTTGACAGGGTCTAGATATACATGAAATTTTATGAATGATGGACCAAGATGACATGGCACCAGTGGAATGTGTTATTTCTCCATATTCACTGTTCATTCATTTATAAATCAGGTTTCTCAAGCCCATTTAAAAGGGTTGAGCTGAACATGCTGTGGCCATAGGTGGGGAATGGTTTATGGAGAAGA